ATCCTCAGCTTCATCTCTCTACTTATGGTGTTTGGTTTGTGAAAGATGTTCTTGGTGAGGCCCCCATTACTGAAGAACGTTTTGCAGTGTGGTTTTCAAGTTCTTTCAGTGCTGCCCATGTTATTGACAACAAAGCCAAGGTAGGTGAAATCACCGATAATCTTAACTGGGTGGTCACCCACAAAGTTGCTGTAGTCTGCAGCATGTTCAAAAATCTGACTAGAAGTTTTACCTCAATTTTCTGGCCAACTTTTGCCACTGAGCTTTCCAGGGCTTCAAGTGACAACTATCTTGTCTGCTGCTTTAGCAACTAGAGGTATGGCATCTGCAAAATTGATGTTGGTGAAGTTTTTATCATCAAAGCATATGTGTAAAAATAAATTTACTTAGTTTCTGGTCAAGAGAATCATATGCAGATTTGATATCTGCAAGAAAAATCTTAATGGGGTTCTTGAAATCTTGTACCTTCTTGATAAGAGGGCACACTGTGAAGATCTGCTCTGTCATTGAATGGCCGGGAGTGAAGTCAGCTTGCTGTGGTCTTCTTTTGCTATTAAGATAGCAGCAGCTGTGATACATAGAAGAATAATGCCATAATAGTTACAATAGTCTCATTTTCTGCCTTTATTTTTTCAAATCGGTAAAATAATGCTTTTTTTACTAGATGGATGTGACCAACCATATTCTCCAGATAATATTGAACAGCCACAAGAAGATAACTGGTCCAGTGCTTTAACAATGCCAAAGGAATTTTAAAGATTCTTGCAGCCTTATTTCCCTTAAGCTTCTTTATATCACTGTGTATTTTATCAATAGTGAATTCACCAGGATCATTTTGTGTGGAGTGGGTCAGCCCAACAATGTCCTTAATGTCAGGGGCCAAAGAAATTGTAGGTGCATTTAGCAGTTGGCTGAAATGTTCACTTCAGCATGGCATGCACTCAGCTTTTGTATTGATTAGCTGACCAGAAATGGAGTAGACCGCACTGAGTGGATGATCTTTCTCCTTGGTGAGATTGCACAAGTGTTTATATAAGTTGGTGGTGATGTTCCTGGGAGAAACTTTGAGTGTAATTTGCTTTGGCTTCCATAAAAGCTTTGCAGACAGTGTGTGCTGCATTATTACAAGTGCCTGTTATATTTCGATACTTAGGCCTGGTCTACACTACGAGTTTATGTCGAATTTAGCAGCATTAAATCGAATTAACCCTGCACCCATCCACACAACAAAGCCATTTTTTTTAACATAAAGGGCTCTTAAAACCAATTTCTGTACTCCTTCCCAATGAGGGGATTAGCGCTAAAATAGACATCGCCATTTCGAATTAGGGTTAGTGTGGACGCAATTTGAAGATATTGGCCTCCGGGAGCTATCCCACAGTGCACCATTATGACCGCTCTGAACAGCACTCTGTCCTTGGTCTGGTCTGTTTAAACAGACCAGAGTTCCTGAAGATGCGAGCATCATGAACCTTTTCCGGCCATCCCACATTGACGTTGGTGAAACGTCCCTTGTGATCCACCATTCAGCACCATTGAAAAGTACCCCTTGCGGTTTATGTACTGGCTGCCCTGGTGGTCTGGTCCCAAGATAGGGATATGCGTTCCGTCTATAGCCCCACCAGAGTTAGGGAATCCCATTGCAGCAAAGCCATCTAGCATGACCTGCACATTTCCCAGAGTCACTACCTTTGATAGCAGCAGCTCAATGATTGCGTTGGCTACTTGCATCACAGCAGTCCCCACAGTAGATTTGCCCACTCCAAATTGATTACCGACTGACTGGTAGCTGTCTGGCATTGTAAGCTTCCACAGGGCTATTGCCACTCGCTTGTGAACTTTGAGGGCTGCTCTCATCTTGGTATTCTTGCGCTTCAGGGCAGGGGAAAGCAAGTCAAAGTTCCATGAAAGTGCCCTTACGCATGTGAAAGTTTTGGAGCCACCGGGAATCATCCCAAACCTGCAACACTATGTGGTCCCACCACTCTGTGCTCATTTCCTGGGCCCAGAATCGGCATTCCATGGCATGAGCCTGCCCCACTAACACCATGATCTCTAAATTGCCAGGGACAGTTTTAGAGAAATCTGTGTTCATATCCTCATCACCGCACTGCTGTTGCCTCCTCGCCTGGTTTTTCAGGTGCTGGTTCTGCATAAACTGCACGATAATGCACAAGGTGTTTACAATGGTCATAACTGCTGCATTGAGTTGAATGGGCTCCATGCATGCCATGCTATGGTGTCTACTCGGGCAATTCAGGGAAAAGGGCGTGAAATGATTTTCTGCCATTGCTATCATGGAGGGAGGGTTGACTGACGATATTTACCCGTAACCACCCGTGACAAATTTTTGGCCCCATCAGGCATTGGGAGCTCAGCCCAGAATTCCAACGGCCAGTGGGGACTGCAGGAACTGTGGGATAGCTACCCACAGTGCACCGCTCGGAATGTCGATGCTTACCACAGTACTGTGGCTGCACACCGCCGAATTAATGTGCTTGGTGTGGACACATGCACTCGACATTATACAATCTGTTCCCAAAAATAGACTTCTGTAAAATTGGAGTACTTTCGTAATGTAGACATGGCCTTAGGCTTTTGGGGTTATAATGGATCAAAAATTGTATATTAGTCAGCAAGGTGATGCAGTTGCAAAAATGGCTAATATTCTGGGGTGTGTTAACAGGAGTGTTTATGTAAGAAACTGAAAGAAATTGTCTTGCTCTACTTGGCACTGGTGAGGCCTCAGCTAGAGTACTGTATCCAATTGTGGGCGCCACACTTTAGGAAAGATGTGAAGTAACTGGAGAGAGTTCAGAGGAGAGGAACAAATGATAAAAGATTCAGAAAACCTGAGCTATGGGGTCAGATTACAAAAAAAAATCTGGGCATGTTAGTCTTAAGAAAAGACAGTTGAGGGGAGACTGAGCAAATAAGAACATAAGAATATGATAACTGTCTTCAAATATATTAAGGGCTGTTATAAAGAGGATGGTGATCAATTGTTCTCCGTGTCCACTAAAGATAGGACAAGAAGCAATGGGCTTAATCTGCAGCAAGGGAGATTTAGGTTAGATATTAGGAAAAATATATTAACTATACGGATAGTTAAACTCTGGAATAGACTTCCAAGGAAAGTTGTGGAATCCCTATCATTGGAGTTTTTTTAAAAACAGATTGGACAAACTCCTGTCAGGGATGGTCTAATTTATTTGGTCTTGCCTCAGTGTATGGGGCTGGACTTGATTATTTTCGAGATTCCTTCCAGCACCACATTCCTATGATTCTATGATACATGACCATACCACAGCTCAAACAATCCGTGTAATGCTGTTCGATGATGGTTCAGGTACTAATGGTGATCCAGAGCTTCTTTGCTCTTTTTTTTTGGAAGGGAGGGGAGGGAACCAGTGACAGACATAGCCACATCAGTTATCTGGGATCTGAAGTCTATCCAGGCAGATTCAGCATCAGTGTACTCTGGCAGGAACTCAATCTCTTCAAGATTTTAGTTACATAGCTTCAAAAATGCTTTTGATTTTGGTAACTTAATAGTCGCTTTGCCTGTGCATTCTAGGCAAAGGTGAAGGTGATCTCTGGACATAAGGTATTGGGCAAACTTAGTTTGCCCCAGTGTTGTGGGTCATGTGTACTACTGTTGCAACATTGTGCTAGACTGAGAGAGTTCTCTGAGACAGACAACATAAGGGGGAAACCTTGCTGAAGCTGGACAGTTTGGTAACTTGCTGCTGGAACTGGGAGACATTTTTTCAGAAAAATAGTTTATTCAAGAAAAAAAAATGCAGATTTGATTGAACTGCAACTATTCACAAATTTGATCTAACTAGTTTTGGCCATTCCGAAAAGGCTGGAGGAGGAGGTGGAAGTAGAGGTGGTGCTGACTCCTTCCCCCCCTTAAAACCATTAGCCCAGTAGGTCAGGCATTCACCTGGAATATGGGAGACTCCCGTTTGAATCTCTGTTTTGCAAAAGACCCAAAACAAATTTTTCAGTTCTCCAAAAATTCAGAAAAATTTCAGATTCAGTTCAACCAGAACTGATTTTTTTTTTAAATTTTCAAAACTGCCACTGAACTGAACAATTAGTTATTTTACCCATTCTACTTGCTGCTCACATCAATGCTTTTGAAAAGGTCATTTCTACTAGGCAATTGCACACTTAGGGATTTGCACCTAAGTCTGTTGGACAGGATAATGCTGAGCAGCTTTGAAATTCTTACCCTAAAGCTTTGACATTGTTGAAACTACTTACGAGGTTAAGTGTGCTTTCCCTGGCAAGAAGAATGCTAACAGAATCAAATACAAAAACCATAAGCAATTTACCATGTAACTCTATCTGATGGAATAAATCAATAGTTTTCCTTTAGAAAAAAAGTACCCATGAGGATAGAAGGATATAGATTCTGAAGAATACTTCTGATTTCCAAACAGTTGTATAAAAAAAGATTGATCTATAAGGAACCAAATGGGAGTATTTGAAAATTGCACTGAGTTGTTCTGACAGCAGTGTGTTCAGGTGATCCAGTTAGAGAGAATCTATTTACTACATTTGTAAAGGTGTGTTTTGCATCTTCCTATATGGAGACAATGGTTCCTATCTGCAACATTGTCAGATGTCAAAACGCAATGCAAAATATGGGCCTTTGAAAAGAAAAATCTAATATTGTGTATTGTTCACAGTGATGTTGCACATAAATAAGAATCGTCCTTAGCATTAAAAAATAATTAGTGAAGGAAGTGACTTGCAGGTAGTCATTCAGCCATTCCCCAGTAAGAGTAGACAGTATATTATTGCCAAAGACCCATATATATGTATTTAATTTTAGCTTATCCTTTACAAGTTTAAAAAAGTATTTACCTCTGCTGGGCTGTTTGCCTGTGGCTGAACAGAAATGTTCCCCGCTGTTAGCCATGGGGAGTGGGGAGGGTTGAGGGGGTAGCCACGCAGTGGGGGGAGGCAAAATGCAACCTTGTAACGAAAGCACATGTGCTATGTATGTAATGTTAACAGCAAGGTTTACCCTGAAAGAGTGTAGCCACTGTTTTATAAAATGTGTCTTTTTAAATACCACTGTCCCTTTTTTTTTCTCCACCAGCTGCATGTGTTTCAATGATCACAGGATCTTCTTCCCAGAGGCTAGTGAAGATTAGAAAGAAAAAAAATGCACTCGTGATGAAATGTTCTCCGAGCTCATGCTGTCCTCCCACACTGACAGAGCACAGATGAATGCGTGGAGGCAAATATTGTCAGAGTGCAGGAAAGCACAAAATGACCAGGAGGAGAGGTGGCAGGCTGAAGAGAGTAAGTGGCAGGCTGAAGACAGGTCTGAAGCTCAAATGTGGCGGCAGCGTGATGAGAGGAGGCAGGATTCAATGCTGAGGCTGCTGGAGGACCAAACCAGTATGCTCCAGTGTATGGCTGAGCTGCAGCAAAGGCAGCTGGAGCACAGACTGCCGCTACAGCCCCTGCGTAACCATCCGCCCTCCTCCCCAAGTTCCTTCGCTTGTTAGACCTCCAGTAAACTGGCAGGAGAGACTTCTTCTTGCCTTTCTAAGGCACCGGGGTTCTCAGCACGGCAAACAAGTATTGCTTTACACTTATAATCCCCTGATGTGTTGGTGCAGAGCAACAACGTGAGTCAATTTTTGGCAGCTTTAAATCCTGGTTCTGAATGCTCCTGCTGGGCGATGTAGCTTCTGGATTGTGTTCATTTCCAGAACAAACCTGTTTCATCAGCATTCAAAACCTGCTGGGTCTTGTAATTATTGTCCTCATAATTTTTGCTAGCTCAGCAGGGAAGAGTTCTGCTTCTTGGTGGTCAGCTGATGCACATTCCCCTGTAAACTTCACATTATGGAGGTTAACGCACTTCCTAAAATTATGAAACCAGCCACAACTAAATGACATTCCTTTGGATGGTTCTCCTTCATTCTCACACACAGCTGTGTATTATTTCTGCCCCTTCTCACGAATGACTGTGCTACAGACTGCTGCCTGTTTGAGTCTGATCTTCAATCCATGTGTTCAACAAAGTCTCTGTTTTATTTAGCTGAACATCCCACCTCATCATCCTCTTGATGGTAAGACGGCAATAACCTGCAGCCTTAACATGTGCTCTAATGCTATCTTTGCCTTTCCTAAAGGTGCAAATCAGAGTTTCATTCACACCATACTCCCGACCAACTGCGTTGACTTGGGCTCCAACACGGAGCTTGTCCAGTATCTCTATTTTCTTAGCTAAACTCATCATTTCCCATTTCTTCTTACTTCTCATTCTCTTCTTCTCACTTTCTTTAGGACAGCTACTCCTCTTAGGTGGCATGATGAATGCAAATGATGAGGATGGTCATGATATAATGTCCAAAAACTTGGTACATGCAGTGTCAACAACACAAAGGCCGTGGGTACAGCTGGACAGAGGAGGGAGCCAAGTCAATGGTTCTCTCACCCAGCCTGAGTGGACAGGTCCATGTCACGTGAGAGCACGCTATATAAAAATAGTATGTGCAACATAAAGATGGGTCACTAAATGAAAACCGTGTTATGTCAAAAATGTGCTGTATAAATGTGCGTTATATAAGGGTTTACTGCATACCTCGACCATTCCTGTCAGGTATTTGCCGAATCTATTCTTAAAAACCTCCAAGAATGGGGATTCCACAGTGTCCCTTGGTAATATATTCTGCTATTTAAATATCCTTATATTTAGAAACATTTTCCTACTATCTAACCTAAATCTCCTTTATTGCAGATTAATTCTTGTCCTGCTCTCAGTGGACATGGAAAACAATTGATCACAGGACCTCTTTATAACAGCCCTTGCCGTATTTGAAGACTGTTATCAGTTCCCCCGTTCTTCTTTTCTCAAGACTAAATAGTTTTTTTTTAACCTTTTCTCATAAATCAGGTTTTCTGAAACATTTATCATTTTTGTTGTTTTCCTCAACTCTCTCCAGTTTCTCCAGATCTTTCATGAAATGTGGTACCAAGAACTGCCCATGGTTCTCCAGTTAAGGCCTCACCAGTGCCAAGTAAAGTGGGACAATTGCCTACCATGTCTTATATATGACATTCCTAGTAACAAACTCTGGAATGATGTTAGCCTTTTTTGCACCTGCATTACATTATTGACTCTATTCAACATGTGATTCACGATAACCCCCTGGTCCTTTTCTGTAGCTTTACTGCCTACGCAGTTATTCTCCATTTTGTATTTGTGCATTTGATTTTTCTTTCCTAAGTGTAGTTCTCTGCATTTGTCATCATTGTATTTCATTGTAGTGACTTCAGACCAATTTATCAAGGATCTTTTGAATTGTAATTCTGTCCTCCAAAGTGCTTGCAACCCCTCCCATCTTGATGTCATTCACAGATTTTACAAGGATACTCTTCAATTCATTATCTAAGTCATTAATGTGAATATTGAATAGTACTGGATCCAGGACAGACTTCTGTGGGTTCCCACTAGATACACCGTCCCACTATGACAGGGGACCACGGTTACATAATAGGGTGATAAGTAATAGCCAACATGGATTTCTCATGAACAAATCATGCCAAATCAACCTAAGTTTCAGTAAGACATTTGACATATTCCCACATAGCATTTCCAGAAGCCAACTAGGGAAATGTGGTCTAAATGAAATTATAAGTATGTTTCTTCAACCAGCTGTGCACCCACCTTATAATAATTTCAAATGCTTTATGGAAATCAAGATATATTGTGTCTGCTGTTTCCCCCTTATCCATTCATCCAGTGACCCTGTTAAAGAGGGAACTTAGGATGATTTGACTTGATTTGTTTATGAGAAATCCATGTTGGCTATTACTTATCACCCTATTATCCTCTAGGTCAGTGGTGGGCAACCTGTGGTCCTCATGCCGCACGCGGTCCGACAGGGTAATCCGCTGGCGGGCTTCCAGACAGTTTGTTTACATTTGCATGGCCGCCTGCAGCTCCCAGTGGCCACAGTTCGCCATGGTGAATGGGACAGGTTGCTGCACAAGGCTTTCTAGGAAGCAAAGGTAAAATATCCAGTTAGCCATGAGAACACTCATCTCAGCATTCTGAAATTCCACCTCCATGAGATTGAATGATGAGATAGGCAGCTACATAACACTTTCCCCAGCTACATAACACCATCTACCGTTTTGCTAGGCAGCAGGCCCACTTAGAGATTTTGGCCATGTGGTGTTGAATGGGACAGTACCTAAATGCCTCTAAAATCTGTTCCTTCGTGATTAAATATTTAATTTTGCTTATAAAGAACGATTTAAGAGATTAGAAATCTTTAAGAAAAAAATGAGAGAGAACGAGAACATGTTCAGATAGCAATATAACATCAAAAATACAAAATTCTTCATGCTCTCCTAGAGTGATTATTTATAGCAATATTTTACTGAGGGTATTTGTTCTTATTGTGAATGTTGGTATCATCATATGATATTAAACTTACTAATTATGTGACTCCATTTAACAAACAAACAAAGACCCAAACTTTCAGAGAGGAACCATTGCATCCTTATGCACCATATTGTAAAAGGTCAGAAGTAATTTTCATGGTGTCATTACAGGATGGAGTCAGGAGATGGCAGCATTGTGCCATTCTTTAGATGCTCGCTCTTCAACTGCGTCTGCGATTTCAGAGACTTTTAAAATGTAAGAATTGCCATACTCCATCAGTTCAGTGGTCCATCTGCAGAGACCAGAAGATGCTTCAGAAGAAGGTACAAGAGTAACCCTTGGAATAATCTGCCAATAGGGAAGATTTTTCTCCTACTTGTCAGTTTGTGATTGACTTACCCCTGAAGAATGAGGGTTTATATTCCTTACATGTTTTTTTTACCTAACATAACTGTGGATGTTTTCATTATCTATGTAAATGTTAATCATTTATTGAATCTTACTCAAGCTTCAATGATATCTGGTGGCTCATTGAGTTTCACAGGTTTGTTATGTGTTGTGCTTTTTTCTTTTTTCTTTTTTAAGAGCAGCATTCTCTTTTCATGCCTCTAACTGCTTTTGTAGCCCATTTCTGGACCCCTTCTAGATCTGCTATATCTTTTTTACACATGGGTTCTTACTGAAAACAGTATCTCAGGTAATATGAAATTCTCAGCATTGTTTTCAAATCCATTCCTTACGTTGCTCAAGATTTTGTTTGCTTTTCTTACTCCTGCTTTTCTGAGAGGAACATTTAGAGAGAGGATTTTAAAATAGTCTACACGTTTCTCTCTTGCCTGTAGGCTTACTATACCTAGTTGGTATGAGCTGTCCAAAATGGTGCCCTCTGTAGTCTTTCTTCTGAGTAGCTATAGCAGATTTAGAAGTCTGTGTACAAGTAATTCAGATAATTTCTCCCAATACACATTACCTTATGTTTGTCAACACTCATCTCATGTTTTGTCATGTTGCCCATTGTTCATTTGAGCCACCTCAGTCTATGGTTCAACTTGGAAGTTATGGGTTTACAAAACTAACTTCTTCAAAAAATGTCCATGAAAATCAAGTAATGTATTCAGACTGGCCTAGTCAGCACATTTTCTACTCTCCCAGAAATTGCCTGAAGCTGCAGAACATGTTGGAAAGTATGCACGTTCGTGTAAATGAGAGATGGTGACACAACACCCCTAGACTGGGTGACCATATTTCCCAAAGACAAAATGGGACACTCCCTGCCGCTTGCCTGAGGGCCCTTACCTTGCTGCTGCCTGGTTGCTGGAACCCTACCCCACCCCACATCAGGCTGTTGTCTGGTCGCTGGAACCCTGCAGACCCCCTCCCTCCTGCATCAGGCTGTTACCTGGTCCCTGGAACCCTGCAGGGGGCTCTGCATGCTGGAATGCTGCTCTCCCCTGCCCTGTCTCCCTCCTGCAGGGGGCTAGCATCTCCGCTGGTCCCCTCCACACCTCACCCCACTTTTTTGATAGACATGGGCATTTGTCCTGTTTGCTCTTGCCAACTGATCAAGGCAGCAAAAGCAAATGAGACAAATGCCTCCTTTTGGAAAAAAAGTCGGGACAGGCAGGACAGGGCTTAACAAAGGAACTGTCCTGGCCAAAATGTGACGTATTGTCACCCTACCCCAGATATGCCTTGGTTTGCTGTCCGAACACAGAGCAATATGCAGATTAAAAAAAAAAAAACCTGACAATTTAATACATCTCAGGGCTTTACTGTGTCTCCTGGGGAGAGCAGCCACATCTTGCAACGGCTGTTATTGCCGCTGCCATTGTCTAAGGCATTTCTATCTTATATCAATTCTCTGCTTTTACACAACTCTTTTTGTTGTACTCCTCTGGTAAGATTTCCAGCTAAGGGAAAGGTTTTCCTGCTGAGATGCATATGTGGCACATTAAACTAAGGAGTTCTCTGCACTGAAGTGATGACTGGAAATATGGTCATCGACTGCTGATCTAGTTTGCAACTGCAGCCATTTGTGCCTATACATGCCACCTGTGGCTGCTTGCACTCTGTAGTCAATCTTAGGCTTGTGCTGCAGCAGACATCTGTTGTAGTAAATTTGCAGCCAATGTTCCCAGTGTGTTCCGATAATTGCTGCCGACCACTGAAGCAGCCACACTGTGTACAGGAGTAGATATTCCTGCCGACTTCAATTTAGGCAAGACATGAATCCACAAATGAGTCACCATAGAAACTGCAAAGAAAAGAAGTGAGTCAGTCCTTCGCTGATGATCACCCGGGGATAGTAGAGATGTGCTGGTAATGGGCCCAAATTCACACTTTACCATGCAGAGGACCACCCTTAACTAATGCATTCTCTGCTGATCCAGGAACAGCTCAAAAGTTGCATCCACCTCTTCAGCTGCTTTTCCATAAATTACATAAACAAATGAAATTAAATAGCCCATAGAACACCAAATTCCCTTTCCCCTTATAAGTCTGATTTGCCCTTGAAAGCTCACCTCCTCAGCATCCTGCACAAATAAATGCACCTTACAGTGTAGGAAGGAGAGGAGGTGGAGGGATAGACAGGGAAACAATCTCCCTTGCCTGATCCCAGGGGCTGTGGCAGCAGCTGCTCTAGGCCTTCTGGGTCCCACTCTTGCCTCTGTCCCCCCAGATATGCATACAGTTACTGCCTCCCCATTGGCAGAGGTGTGTCCTGGCTCACCTGCTTGGACTCTCAGCTCCCAAACAATCAGGTTCTGGCCAGCGCATCCTGCCCCCAGCAGCAGGAGGGGAGGATCACACCTTGCCAATGGGAGACTGTATCTGGAGAGGGGGTGGAGTCTGAGGGGAAGGGGAGCCAAGTGGGGGTGGGAACATAGATGTGGGGGTGGCAACATAGATTAGTCCCAGCTATATTTCCATTGTGTGGGTGTTAGCTGCACTTTGCTCTCTCATCATGGAGGTCAACTGATCTGGGCTATTTTAGATCACAACAGCTGAGAACCTCTCACATAAAGAATGCTTGACAACCAGCCACTCTCCCTTAAATTAAGGAGGCTTCAGCTCAAGTATCTCTGCAAATCACAACTGTGGCAGGATGTCACTAGGAGAGAGATTGTCTCTAATAGGAAGGTCCTAAAACTTAAATCTGGAATCTGACAGGCAGCCGCTGTGTAGATCACGAAGCACCGGTGACATTGTGCTGCCCCTGCGTAGGAGATGGGACATTGCAATCTACACTCAGAAGCGTATTATTAACTGCAGAAGATTCAGTGCATGCTTGAGGTGTGAAGATTATTTTCAGTTCATGGTCTTGCAATTACAACAAAAGTAACCTCACTTTTGGTGGTCTTTGATCTGAGGATAGGAAATAAGAAAGGAGAGCAGACCGTATATCCTATGCTTGGCTGATTGTTTCATGAAGACCTAGCCATCTGGTAGGAAAATTGTTTTATGATGATGAGTGTGGGTTCGCATTAGTAAAGAGAGAAAATTCTTTCTGACTGGGAACATGGGGAAAAGGGCTATCTCTGAGCTTCATTAGTCAACAGGCAATGATAAAGATTTTACACCAGATTTTGCTGGAGATACGTGGCTCATATTTATAATATTTAGATTTGCTTCTTTTATCTCTGTCAGGACAGAGGTTGTTTCCCAATCAGTAAGGTAGCAGCATATGATGTGAGAGCAACGAGGTTTGTAACAGGTATATTAAACTTCTGAAGAGTTTCCGTTAAGCAGTCAAATATATCCTATTTGGCTGCTGATACACATCAAGAAATGGCATTGCAGCCTTTATTTTCGTTCCAGAAACCCAGGAGGATAAACCAGCAGTTTCTTAACCCCTTTGTAAATAGTGTGATTCATGTAAACACAAATAGGAACATAGCAGCAGACAATTGCCACGTCATTCTGGTACCATAGCCGGGGTACATTGATTGCAATGTGTCTTGTTTATAGAGGCTGCACTTTAGATCCCTTTTTGTCCCCTTTGAGTGCACTGCTCCTTCACCTTTCTCAAGGGTGGAATTATGCATTTCTAGGCCTGGATATCTGGGCCGCAGCTTCCCTGTTCCCCTACCGTGTTAACGTGACAGGCCCAACTGGGTTTGGTACCTGTAATTCCAGTACTCTGGGAGCCTGTGACAGCGGCTGATAAACGTTTCAAACAATAGTTTCTACAAAGCAAAGCATTATTTATTCCTTCACTCAGAAGTGCACAGCACACAGACCAAAGGATTAAAACAAAAGGCCCATATGCCTGTTTCCCCTTACCTATACCATAATCTTTCCTTCCACACTTCTATTAGTTCCCTTCAGCCCAATAGGAGTTCAGTGTCTAGGCAATTTTGAAAATCTCACTGGGCACCTGTCTGCATCTGTAGGTGCCTAAATCATTGGCTTGGGAGGGAGGGGCAGGGTATGTGGGCCATGGCCCCAACTACCTTTTGGCCCACCCAGCCCAGCTCAGGCAGGCAATCTTGTGCCAGGATTCCTTCTTCTCCTTCCTGGGAGTACAGCCAATAGGAGGGAAGTTAGATTTTTCCTGCTGCTGGCTGCATCTGGCACTGCTGAGCAGCTCTTGCCCCCCTTCAATAATTGTTTGGAAATTCCACACTTCAGAGAGACGTGGGGATTGGTTTCCCCTGTGGCACATGACAGAACTTCCTGCACAGAGCAGCCTTCCAAGCAGCCCAGGAACCAGCCATCAAAGACTGGGGAGATACAGGAACTCCCCCAGATCTGGAAAGGGAGAGGAGGGGGAGGTACTATCTCTGAATTTAGCATTTAATTTAACCCTTGGAACTTAGGAGGGATGTGGGGGGGGGGGAGAATAACTCACTGTTCTATGGGATGCCCCCCAAGCAGGTGACTTCTTTCCTCAGAGCTGAAGTACTTCTAACAAAGGGATGAGGGTGCGGGGCAAAGAAGATATACCTCTTGCTCTTGTGATGTTTCTGGGGGAGCAGGACAGGTAAACAGCCCCAAGATCTGCAGGAGTTCTTACAAAAAGGGCAGGGGAATTGATGGCACTGGCCCTTGTGGTGATCTCCATTAAGTTTTCTTCTTCTCCATCTATTGAAGAGTCCGTGAACACCAGAAAGACAACGCCACAAGGCAGTGATAAAAGATATGAGGGTAGGAGAAGGGGAGAGGGAGGTCCTGCTACCTTGGTTTCACTTTCTTTGGGGAGAGGTTTTTCAAAGGCTCCCCTCAAGCCAGCACAACCCTTTTTCCAACTTCCATGGTTCTAAGTACCAGCACAAAAGTTTAACCCTTCAAAGTGTTTCAATTTTCCTAATTTTGGTGGCTGCATCAAGTTGAAGCAAATGGTTTAGGATAGCTAGAAAGCTGGAAAAAGAAACAAGCTCATATAAGAAAAGATAGCTCATCTGTGCAGTCAGACAGGAAGCAGAATCCATTTTCAGGTCTTTCCACTTCACCAGTAGACAAGATGAAGATGATCATGATTAAGTGATGAAAAGATGGGATGAATATTTTATATCC